GCGGCACCTGCTGCCCCTGCTTGCACTCGCGCTGTGCTGCACGTCCTTGTGCGCGGCGGCTGGGGACCGGAAGCCTTTCTGGCAGATGCCCAGTAGGTTCACGACGGAGAATGGGGTGAAAAGGAAGCTGACGGACGAAGAGTACTACGGTGCGTTTTTACGCGGTCGTCCCCATGGGGCCCGCGACTATGAGCCTCGGCACCGGATAATGCCGCTGTTCGACGAACGCTATGAGAAGCCCAATGCGACAGAGCTTAGTGCTGAGGATGCCAAGGATGTATTCGGAAAGTCGTCGCTCGTCGTGTCAAAGGCGCAGGATGGGAAAAAGAAGATGGATAAAGCAGTGAAAACTGTGTTTGACGCCATGGTGGCCGCGGAGAATGCCCTGAGTGCTTCAACACTTGTCTTTGCAACAGCGGTTGAATCGGTAAATAAATTGAAAGCGCTGATAGTTCTACCGGAAGTGAGGGGCCAAAAACCAACGTTGAAGCAAGACCCCAAATTGAAGGAGGAAGTCCCAAAGATTATTCAAAGCATCAATAAGACGTCCGACTTGTTTCTTCTTGCCATCGCGAATTTTTCCGAGGTAAAAAGCAAAACGACGGCAGCAGAGGAGGCCCCAAAGGCCGGGATTGAGCAGGTTCAACTGACGTTGGCTGACGTCAGGGTGTTAAAGAAGAGGTTCGGTGCGGCTTTCGAAAACACCACGGCCGCAGAAGACAACGCGGAGCACGCCATCATCAGGGCAAAAAATGTTCTTGGCCCTGCTGTGCGAGCAAGGAGGAACACAATTGAAGCAGAACGTTTCCTTAGGGAGGCTGTGGGGAATATGACGTTTGCATACGGCTATACCGATGCCGCGGACCCCACAAGGACTACACAGACTCCTAAGCGTGATGCAGCGGATATGATTGGTAAGGCACTGTACCGTATGCGGACCACCGAAGAAGAGGCTCGTAAGGCCCTGGAAATGGCAAAGAAGGCATTTGATGACGCTATGGAATCCTTAATAGAGGCACGAGCAGCGGATATGTTTGCCGAGGGGCTCGAGGAGTACGCTCGGGCTGTGCAGAAAGCTGCTGTGAAGGAAATGAAGAAACACGGTCTGGAAAAGGATGTGCCAAAGGAGCTTCTGGTCGAGAAAACCAAGCCGTTGCCTACCCAGGAGACAGTACGTGCTGAGGGAGCCGGTTCTCGCGGAACTTCTGGACATGCTGTTGACACTCCTTCTGCTTCTGCTCCTAATTCATCTGTGAGAG